ACAGCTTTGTATTTTTCATCGTTCCCTTCGAGGATCTCCTCGACCTCCGAGGCCTTCAGGAGTGTAACGCTGGTGGCCAGCTGAGTGTAGCCATGATCTGGGAAGACAACAATGAGAAAACACCAAATTATTTTACAAAATAATCACTGAGACCTAATAAAACCAAGGTTTGAGTAAACTTCATAAATTACAGTTTAAGGATGTCTTTGTCAGACCATTATTAGGAAAACTAGTGAGTTTAATTATAATATGATTGGAAAATAAGAGAAACAGAAAAATATAACATGTGTGATCAATAGATATTTCACTCTGTTCACAGCATAAAAGCTGGGCAATAAATTGATCTTATCAAATTTTTGGTTTTTGAAAATTTGAATCTAATTCACTCCTTGGATTTTCATGGTTCAGGGTGATACATTTTCCTGGACAATAAATTGTTCTGGAAATTATTGCAATAAACAATAATTTTGTTGTTTTGAGACCATTTTCAAGTAATGTATTGATTACAGAATAATAATGCAAGTTCACCCTCAAAATGACCAACAAACTATAATTTTGTTATGCTTATCCTCTTAACAATGGAGCTGGAAGATAATTTAAATATCCAAATTAAACACAGAACAACCAAAAACAATAAATAAAATGAAAATAAAAACCAAACAAACAAAACCATAAATAAAATGCCTTATAAAATCTCTGAAAACAAAATTAATTAATTAAGTTGTTTTCTCATTAAAAACAACTTTACGATTGTTTTTTTCTGCATAATTTTATGCTAACATTATGACCTTAATCTTGTAACCAGGCCCCTATACTCAGTGGTAAAAAAAAAGAAAAGAGAAAAGAAATCAATTACAAATGAAAATCTGATATTTTACTCTTGCATAAAAAACCAGGAGGATGCTGGCTCTACAGAACTGGAGTTGCTTGAGTCAGTGCTGCCCTCTACTGACCGTGTGAAGACTCTACAATTTTCTTCCGTTCTTCCACTGTTGCCAGTTTTCTCCATAACGACGGGTACCGTTTATATAGGGAGCCTCTGAACATGCGCAGGTAGTTCCCCACCTGTCAAAAAGTCAGAAAAAAACAAATAAAATAAAATAAAATAAAAAAAACAGGTAAAAAAAACTAATTATGATGTTTCAGACACCGGGTTCTTAATGCGATGTTGCAGAAAAAATAATCAGTGAAGCTCTGTTAAGAGTTCCTTCATAAGACGGCATGTTAAAGCCACTGTGTTTAGAAAAAAAAGGAATAAATTTCCGCAAAAAAATCTCAGAAATTTTTAGATTAATCTCAGAAATTTAATAGAAAAAACAAGGAAATTTCTGAGTTCCAAAAGTAACACATTTGCAAGAAAAAAAACTTAGAAATTTTCAAATAAATCTAAAAAAATTACTAAAAAGAATCTCTGAAATTTATTAACTCAAAAAGTTGAAAATTTGTAAGATTTATATAAATATATATATTTATCTCGGAAATTTTCTGAGTTTCAAAAGTCAAAATCCAACATTTCCAAAAGTGGAAAATGTACTACTTTAGAAACTTAGAAATTTCCAATTTTTTCTGGACAATTTCTGAGATTAATTCTGAGTTTTTTGGCAGAATTTTACTTTCTTTTTCCTATCTACAAAGTCCCAAATACACAGTCGTACCTCCATAATCCTTCAATCAGATTATCAGTTTAAAAGACGTTTCTGTTTACGCCTCACAATCCAAGGGCAAACTGACTATGAACAAGTGGAAATTGTCCACGATAACAGAGTAACATAAAATGAATGGAATTATATATTTTTTTAATCTCATGGTTACACTAAGTTTTAAACATTTCTTCACCCTGTTAGGCGTTTTCTTGGTTCTTTGTTTACATGTGTTGTTTACATTTTCTTTTGCTATTTTCCGCTTACTAATCATGCAAGTAATATTCTACATGTGATAATGTAGTAATAATCTTCTACAGTGGTGCAGAAGAAGAAAGACAGGCCATTGAAACATTATAAAAGTGTTATCCTTGTGATTTTAAAACTGTTCTCTCCCACTATTACCAACCTAGACAAACCGAAACAACACAGCAAGTCGTATTAACATTAGATTTAAAATAATAAAGCAATAATCCAACTAATTTTACGGTTTGTCTTAAAAATTAGCGCTTTGTTTGTTGAAGTCATGTTAGCTCGCATGCTAACGTTTAGCTTGCTTGACAACTGAAGTTTACGATTAAATAAAAGATTAATTTCATTCCAGACTTCACTTTCTGATAACCTATTATCGATCAGCACCTTCTATCCTCGCGTTGTTCTCTGATCATCAATGAATGAACCTTCACGCGCTGCCTTTCCCCTCAGCTGGCCTCGCGAGCACAGCTAAGCTAACAGCTAGCGGCTGACACACCGGAACGTTTCTGCTCAAAATCATGATCCGTAACAGCAGCCGGGTTATAAACATTTAAAGATACTAACCTCAGAACCGATCATGTAAAACTCTCCATCCTCTTCGAGCTGAAATTTCACCGGTTTTTGCCCAAACGTTTTGCTAAGCGCCATAGTGACATGGAATAACAAAGGTCCGAGCTACAGCGCAAGCGCAAACAACAAGCGCAACAAACAACCGTTAAATGATGGACTTCCGGTTCCGCTCCAGGATCCGAGTTGTTAGAATCGGCTCACCAGCAACTTTACTATAATTTTAGCAAATTTTTTTTTCATTTAAATTGAATAAAAATATTTTGTTAATCTCGAGAGAATATAATTAAATGTTGTAACTCGTCTTATCCATGTTTCTCAAAAAAAGAAGAGAAAAAAGAAATGTAGACGCTAATCTCATGTAGCTACTGCAAAGCCAGAGAAGTTTGATTAAAAACTTTATTGTATCACATTCTTTTCAAGAGGATGCTCATGGTTGTCTGCAAAATAATAAAAGAGATTTTTTTTAAACTAAAAATTTATGAGAATATTTTTCCAGCTCAACAATGAATTAAGCATGAAATATTTATGAAATAGTATTTAATGTTTTTTGGAGAAATAATTGTAGATTAAAATTTTCAAAAGGGTATCGCATATTTTCCATATTAATAAAGACAATCACTTTGGTTGAAAAAACGGAAAAATATTTAGAATATTCTTAGCAATAAAACTTTAATTAGTTCACTCTGTATTTGAAAACATTTGCTGTATTTACTCAAGATGTTAATATAATTAAAAGTAGATTTCTGTGTCTGCTTTAGTGTTTAACTCAATGGAAATATGTCCTACCATTAATTTAAAAGAAAATCAGAAATATCGATATGAAATGATAAACATTTAGTGCCATAGCTAACATTTTTATGTGAAGATTTTAACTTGTAGCTAATAGTTTTGTCCTAATTGAAAATATTTTGAGCAAAGATGATTTAAATGAATTGTTAGTAAACATTTCAAGCTCATTTACTCAGTTAAGTCCTAAAAAGATTACGTAAATGTGTAAAAAAATAAAATAAAAACCAGATGCCAAAATGTTATTTTAACTTTACAAACTTAATGTTTATTTGTATATACATGAATATATTAATCTATAACCAAGAGAGGAGAGAATGTACAATGCAAAACAAAATCTTTATATACAAATCAATAAATAAGACACAACCAAAAACAGTTTGTCAACACAAGGGCTTTTTGTTCATGAGAAAGAAAAAGTAAGACAAAGAAATTGCAATAAGAAAATCTTGAAATTCTTCAGTTAAAAGTGGAAAAATGGCACCAAGAAAAAAAAAGAAAAAAAATTAACAAAAACAACCACATCACACCTGTTTCAATTGTTTTTATCCTTCTTCATGTAAAACTGAGTCATTATCTTTATTTTTTGTTTGTTTTCAAACTCGCATAGAATCACAAAATTCATTTTTAACAAGGGCAACGACAACACACACACACACACACACACACACACGGTCCATCCACGGTCGGAAACACTCGGACGCTTTCTGGGAAGAACTGCTGCAGAAACAGAAACTCAAATTGTTTGAGGAGAATTTAGGAAGAAGTCTACAAGTTTTTGGTTTATTTTCAGATAAGTGCTGAAAATAAACAAGAAAATCTGCCTTTCTTCCCCCTTTCAGTTAAAATCAAGGCTTTTTCATGAAGTTATCAACAAAATGAAGAATAATTTACAGTTCTTTTTATTGACAAACTATTTTTGGATAATTTTTCCTGAAACTTGAACATTTTTTTAACTAAGTCCATGTTTAAAACCTTTTACTTTTAGCTATAACTTTTTGATTTAATTCTAAAGGGAGGCATTTTCAAAAGTGCCACAATTCACACAATTCAATACACATTTCTTAACGCTATTAGGTTTCTTCATCTGACCTTGTTTGTTCATTTAGAGTAAATTAAACAAATAATGACTTAAAAATATAAAATTCCTGCTGGATAAATTCCCTAAAGTTCAGTTTCTGCATCAGTTTCAGCTTTCTTCAAGTTTCCCGGACAAACAAAGTGAAACTAAATGGGTCCAGACATGTTTTTTCCTCCTTAGTGTTCTCCCCCAACGTAAACAGTAAACACAAAAGCTGAATCATTTCTCCCTCCCGCTGTGACAATGAAAGGCAGACGCTTCCACGGTTTCCATTTTGTTTTTGGCACACGGTGGGGTCGGGTGCTGCTGCCTTCACGGACAACACGAGCGAACGATCATCACGACAATAAACGGTTCACAGTGCCGATCGACGGGCGGAAGGGGGCAAAGGTCACAGTGTTTCACGACGACATCGAACGCATCCCGCCTGCCGCTCATCAACGTATTGCTTCTGCAGTGTGTTTGTTAGTGAATTTGTTAAAGTTGACGGTGCACAAAAATAGCTGACAAAAAAAGGCAGGACAAACTGGACTTAGTGTTCTCTCGGGATTTTTAGTGCTTTACTACAATTCCCAGAATGCTTGGCACCAAATTAAAACAGTGCAGATGTGGTGGAAAGAGATGTTTTAGGGGTTATAGAACAAAAACTGAAAAAAAACGCGGTTTTCATAGGAGGAAAACACAAAAAAGAAGAGCGTCAGTTTGGATTTTTCCGTCACCGTCGCTCCTCTTGAATTCACATTCATCTAACAGCTGAAATGTTGCATCGTTTTGAGGTTTCCGTACATGGAAATACAGCGATTCATCTGGATTCAGAGAAACCAAAGCTTTAATCCTGCAGGATAAATCTGCAGCACATTTGGAAAGTTGTCACTGAACGGATATGAAAGTTTGAGCCGCCATGTTGGAAGAAATAAAACAAAACCTGGGCAATGTTTGAGGACTCTCAGGAAAAAAAATAAACCTGATCATCTTTCGTTAATGTAAGATATGTTGATGTTTCTCCAGGGTTTTCGCACCAATTTGGATTATTCAGATCAATAATATCAAGATGAATAAATTATGCAAATTTTAGATCCACATTAAATTTTTTTTTTTGAAATATAACATATCTTTTCTCTTTTGCTGACCTTATTAAATCATTATAGTTGTTAGAATATTGGAAAGCAGAACAGAAATCTTGAATGAAAATATTGAGGTCAATTTGGTTGCATTTCTTTTCCTTAACACATTTTTTTCATATTTTTTTCCACTATTTTTAGGTTTGTCCAAAATCATTTAACTTTTCTGTAGATTTCACTGTAACGGAAGCATTTTGTATGGAAGGCCATACAAAATGGCATTTTGTATGGCCTTCATTCAATAAATGAAAAAGGTGTTAAATATTTAGATATGACTATTTAAGTACAAGTAGAAATATAAATGTTAAAATTAAGAAAACTGATCTCTTCAGTAATTAAATGACCACATTTTTGAAATTACTAAACTTTTTAATACAATTATTTTATAGTTCTGATTCAGCCAGTTGGTGGAGCTAAAAAGGCCATACACAAGCTGATTATGGGTCTACAGTGGATTGACTCAATAAAATAATAAAATAGACTTCTTTATATTTTAAGTGATTAAGCGTTAAAATATGTTCTCTATTTATTTACTTATTTTTGACATTTCTGGCTTTCCATAATTTCAAACTTGTTTATTTTTATTTCAGTCCAAATTCACTTTTTTAAAGCTGGTGCTTCTGGTTATTTTTTTCCAACATGGCGCCTCATGGTGGTCTGGATGAGGAAGAAAGGGAAATTGGAAATTGTGAAGAAACAGCACCGTATCCGAGGTGCAAAAAAAACAAACAGAAAGCAAAATAAAAACATTAAAAAGTGTTGATATCATGAGTCTATTAACAAAAATCACAGGGTCCTTTTTCAGAACAATATACTGCACAGACTGGGTTGTTCATATTTACACTGTTCAGTCTGTGTGAAGTGTGATCGCTCTGCAGCGGCAGCGGCCTCCACCATGTAGTGGTTATGATCCGGTAATAAAAGACGGAAACAGAGGCGTGGGATTCATGGCTGTGTTCACTGGATTTTGACACCATTTTCTCTTTTTTGTGAACACTGCAGCGTTCAGACGAGCGTCTCTTCCTCCACGTTCTGCTGTAAAATCCCGACCGAATCTCTCTATAAGTGATCCGACGGTTCTGGGAAGATGGCAAAAAAGTCTGATCCCAGGATTAAAAAGTGGAGGTGCAAAGATTCCCCTCGTCAACGCTGAGATGTAAACGCTTGTAAACAAAATGTGACGCATCAGGAGGTTCGAATGTTTCATCTGAACCAGGCGGAGGGTGATGAAGAGTCCAAGTATTGTCCAAAGCGAAGGTTTTTTTTTCCCCCTTCTACTTTCCTGAGTTTGCAGCTTTCATGAAAACAAACTCAGATTTTTTAAGGAGGGTCCTGAAGAAGCAACACATCCGGTTAAGTGCTAAAGTGCCACAGAAAGGTCCCGTCTCTGCCTCTATCCAAACCAAAACCTGGACGCTTCAGGTCGGGTCGGTTCGTCTCTCCTGAAGAGTCTCAGAAAATCCCTTTGGCGATCTTCAGTCCCTTCTGTTTCATGCGAGGCAGCGTCGAACTGGCCACGTTCTTGGCCCGCACTGGCCGTGCCGAGCCGCGCTTCTTCAGCACAAAGTCGTAGTTGGCAGTGGAGTTCATGGCGTAGAAGACATTGGCGTTGTCCGGGATTCGGAGCTCTGCAGAACGAAGGGAAACAGAGCAATGTCAGATTTCAAAGCCTCGTTTGTTGGATTATTTTTATTGGGCTGGTTCTGGAGTAATCTGTAAATCCCAACAAAACTAAAAAAAGTCTAGTGTTTGGAAACTCAAATCCAGAACTTATTAATGATACACGCAAAAAAAAAGCTGGCCAACTGGCAAGGTGTGTTAGCAGCTAGCTAGCAGTAGTCACAGATGGCAATGAAGAAGTCTGATTGTGACTGAGGTGTTTGCCTGACAGAAAAGTCCCGCAACAAAATAAAAAAGAATGTACAAGATTGAATAGGCAAAATTTAAGATCTGTGATTAACATACTAAAGGCCAACTTACTTTTTAAAAATGTAAGTTATTTTAAGGCCTTAATTTAAATATATGAATTTAAGACTTTTTAAGGGGAAGATAAGTGCACTAAATGTTTTCAAAGTTAGCAAAAGGGCTAAGCTAAAAATTAGCTCTGATATTAGCTTCTGGTTACTTTCACAGGATTGTTCTGGTTTTTAAATCAACTGTTTTTATATGTAATTTTTTTCTTACAGACGTGACTTTATTTTTAATACAAATGCTTATTGTAAATAACACTATTTTTAGCCACACATTGAAACTGTCATATGCGTTTTAAATCTTATTTGTCAGCATTTCTGAAACCTGCTCACCTTTGTCCTCTGAGATCTTCTGCATCAGCTCGTAGTCCTCGGTTTTCTCCCGCTCCAGGTTGTGTTTGATCATCGCCTTCCTGATCACCGCCGGAGTTTTGTCTTGACTCGTCACCTGAAAACACATCAAGCGTTTATTACTCCGAAAACCCGACTTCTACACCAGATAAACCCAAACTTTTCCCCCTCTGTGGAACAATAGAGGATTTTTATATCCACTATCTCCGTTTTCAATAAGTTATTTGAACTTATTTTTTTATAATAATAATGGAAAAACTGCAGAAGAGGATTAGGATTACTTAGAATTCTGAAAAAAAAAGTAAATTCTGGAACAGAATGTCAATATTCTGATAATTTTGAGAAAAAAGTTAGAATTCTGAGAAAATGTTAACATTTTGAGAAAAAGTAAAAAATCTGAGAAAAAAGTCAAAATTCTGGGAAACAGTCAGAATTATGCTTTATTTTCAGCGGCCCTAATCTTCTTCCATAAAAAACAGGTTACATTTATGAAAAATTTCAAATTTATGATTTAAAAATATATTGGATTTTTCAATTTTTTCCCCTCATCTTCCCTTCAACCTTCTGAGGTCCTCCTACGACACCTGTTGGTCCCCCAGCGACCCTCGCTCCCCCTATTTGAAAACCACTGAGATGAACAACAGATTCCCGCGCTCTCTCCCTCTCTTTGGTCTCACCAGGATGCTCTTGTACATGTTGCCGTTCTCCACGTCCAGCGAGACTCGGATGATGCAGCAGTCGTCCACCTGCTGGTTGTAGAGCGGCAGCGACAGCGTCGAGTAGTTGGACACGGCCGACACCGAGCGTTTGTGCGAGCGCGAGGCGGACAGCGGCGTGGAGGAGGAGACGGAGGACGAGGAGGTGCTGCTGGAGCCTGAGGCGGAGCCAGAGCTGGATCCCATCCCCGACGTGTCCAGGGAGGACAGAGACGTGCATTCCCAGAACTGAGGGGGACACTGCACAAGTGTTACTGACTTTAGCGAAAAAATGTTTCTCTGATGCAACAATATTAGGGCTGAAACAATTAATCAGATAAAATTTTCATGTAAAAATATATTAATATAAAATTACATTTCATTTATTTTATAACCAAACACGCAAAAAAGTTTAATTTCTACACAAACTAAATAAAATTCACAGTCTGTCAGACATTAGAAATATAATGTATATAATAGTTTCTAGTGAAAATATCTTATTACCCTTGAAATTAGACTAAATTAACTTACAAGTACATTTTCATTAAGGTACAAGAGCTTGTTTTAAGTCAATAACTCCTTCATATTGAGTTTAAAAGTTCTTATTCCATTGGAAGATTGTTTCACTAATAAGACATTTGTCCCATATTATAAGTGCCAATGGAATAACAACTTTTTTGATGAGTGTAGATGAATTGAAGAACAAAACATTAAAGCATTACCGTTGAGGTCGTGTCTGCAGATGGAGGTTCTCTCCCCAAAGCAGACACGGTGAGTTTCACCGATGGAGTCGACGTCTGAAAACAAGAACAGGATGAAAGACGTTTTAAAGGGCAGGTTTCACACGTTTTCCAGCCATGTAGTGCCATTTTATAACTTAATTAAGCAACTATGTTACCATCAGTTCTAAAAATGCTGTATACGACTTAAAAAACCACCATAAACCTGGGCCTCTGTCTCTTTCTGAAACTCTGCCTGTGCACATAACACTTCAAATATTTCCCTCACCTTCCTCTCGTGTCCCTCTGGTGAATCCGACAGGAAGCTGGTGTTCACGTCCTCCAGGTCGGAGCCGCTGGAGCTGACGGACGTGACGCTGAGGGCGTCGCCGCTGTCCCCGCCGCCCCCCTGGTACGGCCTGTAGTGGGAGTGATCGAACGACTTTGAATGGGAGCTGGCGCCGCCGCTGCAGCCGGCCTCTGTCAGCTGCCGGCTGGACACAGAACAGGAACAGGAAGTGGAAGAATAAGTCTCCAGGAAGACACAAACAACTGATGGAGAAAAATCTGAAGAAGAGCTGAGTGTGACTGACTCGCTCCATCGTTTCATGATCCCGCCGTTCTTCTTGGCTCTGAGCGTGTTGCTGGCCGACTCTGACAGAGGCTCGATCTCACAGGACAGATTATAGCTGCAGAAAAGAAAATTAACACCAAAAGTCAGCTTGTTTACACATTTTGGGATTAGGATTTAGTTAAACCCTGGAAAGATATAAAAGCTAAAACAAGCTTAGAGACATAATGAGACTAGAACTGCAGCTAACAATTATTTTAGTAATCTCATGAAGGTTTGTCATTTAATCACTCAGGTCTTTTTAGAACAACTATTTGTTTTATTTTAAAACAAATAGTTTTAAAATAAAATGGTACAACTTTACAATGAGGCTCCCTTTGCAGATGGATGTGTTATCTATTCGTCTATAAACACTTTGTAAAACTGTTTATTATGCATTAATTAAGGATGAAAAAGCAACTATATGCTAAAAAACTGTTTACAAATGCTTATTGTGCTTACAAGGTGGTCTGAAAAGTTTAGTATAATAACTCTAAATAAAATACAGATAAACAGATGTTTCCATATGGGAAATAGCCCTCATATTTTACAAACTACTTAACATTTAAGGTTTATTTGAAAGTTAAAAAGTGTTAAATTTGTGTTAATTTTTATGTTTATTAGGGTTTCAAACTGTGAATGAAAACATCATTAAATCTACAGAAAACTATTTGATCTGGAGAAACTTAGGATCATCATGCACAGATGTTTTATTTAAAAAAGAATAATATTTGATAAGTTAACAACCTTTCTGCCTCGCTGAGTTTCTCCACGGCTGCGAACCACTCTCTGAAGTGGCTTTCCTGAGTGAAGCTGTAGTTGTTGGAGGCCAACTGGAGAAGTTTGATCTGAGCGATCACCTCAAACTCCTGCAAAATACAACAGAATCCAGCGATTTAAAAATTATTTTTAATCTATCAGAAGCTTTGAAACAGTAAAAACAAATTTACCTTTCTCCTCTTCTCGAAGTTAATCAGACCACCCTGAAAAAACAAAACAAAACAGGAGAATAAAAACATCAGCAACGTCAGAAAATGAAACAGGAGTTTAAAATTATTTTGGTGCCATTTTTTCACCCTGCAACAATGGCTTATTCTTTTTCATCCACAAAAACATGCTGTAAATTCAAAACTCAGAAGTCAGCACCTAAAGAATGCATGGGAGAATGTACAAACAGAAAAAACAAAATGGCTGACCTCTGTGTAATCCTTCATGGCAGTGTCCATCATCACCAGGTCCGTTAGGAATGTTCCCAAATAAGGAATGGTCCCCTGCATGACTCCCTGTTCACAGAGGGATAATTACTGACAGACTCAAACAAGCAACACATAAATGATTTAAAGATTATCTACTGAAACATAACTGAATCATTAGAAACAAAAAAACTCTTTTGCAAGTTTAGGGTACAGATAAGAAAATAAAAATAATTCATAATATTACAAGAATAAAGTTGAAAAAAAAAATTCAGAACAATATGAGAATAAAGTTATAGTATTATGAGGATACATTTACGACTTTATTCTTGTAATATTATGAATTTATTCTTGTAATTTTAAGAATTTGTTTTCATAATTTTGACGTCATTCTTTAATTATTATGAATTCATTCCAATAATTTTATGTACTTATTCTTCAACTTTGATTTATTCATTTATTCTTGAAATATGACTTTATCCTCATTTTATTGCAATTTTCTTGTATTATTTTGACTTTATTCTCATAATATTAAGCCTTTATTCTTATTATTACTTTATTCTCATACAAGTTTATTCTCGTAATATGATTTCACTCTCATAATTTTATTGTTTTGTACTTTGTATGTCCCTAATACGCTGCCATAAGATCTAGAGTGAAACAAGGAGTCGTCAGATGGGGCGCAGTACCATCACCCACCACTAGATGGCACATGTAGTGTTTCTCTGTAATTTCTGAGGTTCATTAACAGCTTTTCTTCACTGAATCGGGTCTCACCAAGTCTCTCTGCTGCTGGTGTCTCCTTTGAGCTCGTTTGGGGTTGATTTCTAAAGTTGCAAACTTTGAAGTTCCCTCCTGCAGAAACAACAACATGTTCATGTTTTAGCAACTTTTCATTTGTTGGGAGTTTTCTAGATTTTAAAAGCAAAACATGCACAAATGTCCACTCAAACACACATTTGCTCAGTTCACATTTATTTCAGTTCAGTCTGGTGCACTGGTCTCAATTACCACCTTTTTGAAGGACAATTTTGTTTAATAAGACAATTTTCTCATGTTATAAGCGAAATAATCTGCCAGTGGATCTAGAACTTTTCCATCAAAATTAAGAAATTATTGACTTAAAACTCCTGAATAGTTACTTATAAGTTAGTTTGTCTTATTTTACGTGTACTATAATATTTAAAATAGAAACTACACCAAAAATACTTGGTAAGAGTTTGTGCTTTTGCAGTGTTGAAATTCAAGTATTTTCAAGGATTTAAAGTGTTGCATGAAGCCTACTAATCAGGTCATGGAGTTAAAGGAAATAAACTAGTTCAGGGTTAGTTTATGAGACTGAAAAAAAAAAGAAAGTCTGTTGACCCTTGGAAAGGAAAAACGGGAAGAAAAATTCCTGAGTGAGTCGCTGAGGCTCTGTTTATATGCAAAAGCAGCCTGGACTGAGAAGATACAGAGAAAGGGAGGCGACGCCCTGAAGTCCGGCCATCAGCGGCGTTATCTACAGGGTTTCCTCCCTCTGACGTCAGCAGGGATTCCCTCACAGGAGGCCCTGCTTTAAGCTCTCAGGTTACACAAAAATGCGATCCTGAGTTCATGTCAGCTTTCCTGGAACTGCAGATTGTTGCTAAGAGGAAAGCTGTTCCAGATGTTCAAGCTGAAAAACATCTGCAGCAAAAACCCGATTCTGATTTTCACTGTGTCCAGCTGGGCAGCTTGGACCAAATAAAATGGACACAAACCTTACTTAAGACAATGGAAACCTGGATTTTATAAACTGCTGGTCAATATAAACGTTTCACATCAGTATATATCAATAATTATTGACCAGTTTTTTGTTTTAAATATCTGACTTTTTCCGCTTTATCCAAAGTTTTCACTCCACACTGTGGTTTTTTAATTTTTAATCGGTTATTACAGTGGCGGAACTTTAAACTGCTGCTGCTGCAGTTACTCAACAGGCTGTTGCTAGGTAACCAAAAAATGAGTGGGTTGCTAGGTAACCAAAGAGAGAGTGAGTTAGTTGGTTCATTCCACCAGTGTAGCTTTTCTCTGCCTTTCTTAGGGCTGTTGAAATATGCAATAAATCAATTAATCGCACAATAAATTAAAAGGAGGTTAATCATTTCCATTTGTGCAATTTATTATTTTTCTCTTTTTCTCCCAAAAACAGGATGACAAAAGTCTTCAGTCTCAATTAGCCCTTTTTTCTGAAGGACAATTTTGACTTCATGATTAATTTTATTTTGTTGTTTCTATTGTTTTGTTAATTTATTTTGGAAATTTTAAATATCTTCCAGTTCTTGAGTTAAATGTTTATTGTTTATCGCATGAACCTCTGGGACAATTTATCATCTAGTATCATCAGCTCAGAAAGCTGAGCGACTCTGGATTGGAGTTAATTGAAATTATTGAATATTCCGTCAGATGTACTGATACTTATCAAATCTCTATCAGAATATATAATGTTACTGATTTATTGCACAGGCTTTTCTAGAAGTCTAAATTAAATAAAGAAAAATAGTCTTGCCAGTTTTATTTAGACCAATAAACTAGAAACTATATTTACTGACAAAAAAACTTGATAGAAATAGTTGAGTTTTATTTGGAATAAAGTAAAATTCAGCTGTTATTAAACTGCTAAATGGCATCAGGGAAGCCCAGATCCGACCCAGAACTTGGCTCAGATCTACAGGAACACCAACTGTTCTGCAGGATGTTCTCTTACAGCCACAGCGAAGTGACGAGGTCACATCCTGCTGCTATCCGCTCAGCTGTCGTTGGTCCAAGTTATGTAATGCGCACTGACTGTTTTATATGTCTAGGACAAAAACATGGAACTCACGGGTTAGCTGTAATTTTAATGCTGAAATTAGACTTTATAATTTCATAATTTCAACCAACAACATTTAAAGGTGACCTCTTTGAGAAGCATTAGTGGAGCCTCCTGCACAACCAACAGAAATCCAGCAAGTGGTTTCTGGATGGTAAGTAAACAAGAAAACACTTGTCTTTTCCAGCAGCCACTGTACAATGCATACAGCAGCTGACCAAACGTGCAAGAGCTCAGCTTGGGTTGCTATCTGACGGGCAGAGCTCTGCTGGGGTTGCTAGGTAACGGGCATTCCAGAGGTTTTTGAAACGGCTCATTTTCACCAAAAGAAGCTAAGAAATGACTGGGTGTTTTCTTCCAAAGTGCTTGTAATGGAATTATAAAAAAGTACAAAAGGTCAACTTTGCATTATAGGTAACCTCTAAAATATTGATGTAACACCAACAACATAGAAAAACCCCCACCAAATTCTGAGTTGCCAGTGACACTTTTCAATTAATTTGGATTCATTTCTATGTAATTATTATTTGTTTAATTTCTCTCAAGTATTTTTACTCTGTAGTGCTTAAAAGACGAGACTCACCTTCACCAGCAGCTCTCGACTCAAGGAATAGTTATTGTCGTCTGAGAAGATTTCGGAAAGCTCTCTGAAGGTTCTGACACTTTCCCTGTGAACAGAAGCAGAAACCAGAGTCAGGAATCCCCTCAGGAAAGATCCGTCCAAGTCCAGAGTCCAAACCTACCGAGCCACTTCGTCCCAGGTCCTCTTCAGGCGGTGGATGGAGTTGCACTGCAGGGCAGAGAGGATCGCTCGCAAAGAGGAGAAGTTCTTCAGGATCCGACATTCCTGATGGGAACAATGATCCAGTGAGACAAATGGAAACAGCAACACTGAAGCAACTTAACTGCTTAAAGTTAATCCTGTCACAATAAGCAATAAATCAATTAATGTCATGGTAAATTAAAATGATAATTTCCATTTAGACAATTATTATTTTCTGAAATGCAGTTTTGGTCAACGGGTCTCCATAACCCATTTTAATTACTGTTGTTTTTGTTAGTTTATTTTGCATATCTGAAATGTTTTCCGGTTCTAGGCGGTGTGGCTCACCCGCGCCACATCGATCCACCTCTCGATGAGCCGGGCTCTCTGGTTGGGCTTCAGCGCTGGGTTGCTCAGGCAGGTGGTGATCACACAGTTGGTCACCGAGTTGAACTGGGCCACAGTGGCTCGGATGGTGGGAGCCAGGTGCTCCTTGCCCTTCTTGTCCCGCTGAGACCAAATGCCGCCCAGGCAGTGGTACGGCACCACCTTCTTGAACAGGTCCTGAGCAGACAGGAGGATACAGAGAAAAAAATGGGTTTAATCACTTTTGCTTCTCATGTTATGAGATAAAACTTTATATTTTAATCTGAATAGCCGAAATGCAGAATAATTCAGAAATACTAATTTTTTCCACATTTTCAGAGTCATTACTAGCTTTATTCAACGTTCACAGTCTTTTTTTCTTATAGTGAAACCTAAGAAAGTTTCAATTCAGTATTATATTAATTTGTTCTCAGTGTAGAGGAATTTTAAAAATCAATATGTTTACCTAGTGGGTGATGAGAAAGGATTATTTGCACATACAATAATTTTACAAAAGAAGTCATAGTTGATCTTTAATAACTCTTAATATAGGCTGAAATTGATCAATACCTGTTGCTTTAAAATATAAAATCAAATGCAGGTTTAAGCTGTTTCTCAGTTTTTGATGAAATACTTAATGTAGCAGTAATGTTTTTAGATCCACTTTTCTTATTGGGTTGAACAACATGTGCTTTTTCCCATCATTTTGTATAAATAACATCCAATTGAAGAAAAAAAACATTCAGCTTTTGCTGCAAAGGTTTTATGTTTTTCTTTATTTTATATCGTAAAGATGCTAAAATATAAAAAAACGACAAGCAAACAAATCAAAAACAAGTTTTTTGTTTGTTTTTTAAAGGTCAGGTTATATTAGGACCTCTAAATGAGTTTAATTTATCTGGACCGAGGGGGAAAATGGCTCTTTGGGTTGTAAAGGCTGCAGGTATGTGAAGCTTTGCAAAGACACTACGATTACAAAAACCAGCAGAGGAAACTTTTACTGCTGTTCAGCTTCACACTCTGTCCCGGAACTCTTAATTACACAGTAAAATGTTTAAATAAACCAAGAAAACATACAGTGCAAAACTAAAATAAATTAAGCTATATATTTCCAAATAATATGTAATGGGTAGTAATCAAATATTCCACCATAACACTGTCATTTGATTTTCAGGTGGGAAAAAAACCTAGAAAACCTTGAACTGTCTGTAAACGCACCTCCATTTGTAACTGAAATGAAGAACTATTTTCCCTCTTGGATCAGAAAGTTTCCATTAAAGTCAACAAAACTCCTGCACCTGATTTTCAGACGTCAACGTGAATAAATCTGCTGACGAGGGAAGGAAAACCCGCTCACCGCGTCCATGAGCGTGAACTGCTCCGCCACCATGATGGGGTCAAACGACAGGAAGCTGAAAGCAGGAAGCTCGTCCTCAAAGCCGCTCTCCTCCTGCGTGGCGAACGGGCAGCCGATGTGTTCCCCTGAACAAAAAAACCAGCAGAAAAATAACATTTTTTAAAAAACGCTGCATCCAGCTGAGCTTGTTCTAAACCCTGCTCATCTAAAACTAATCTGCATCTGTTTTTATCATTTCAAATAAATAAATCCCTCTCTTCTCCTGTCCTGCCTTCATACCATCGGGATCGGGCTCACACTGCTGTCGGCGGTGGAAGTGGGCCAGCAGGTTGCGGGCGCGGCGCTCCAGGTCCGAGCCGGGGAAGTGGAGGTGGAGGTAGGCCAGGAGTTGGTGCAGACATTCGTAGTTCGGAGGGTTCCAGAAATCCTCGGAGTACTGGTCCAACCACGCGCCAAGGATGGACGAGACGGTACTGAAACGCACAAGTAACGTCATTAAACAACAATCTGGTGACAGATTCACTGCAAAAACACAAAGTATTTCCAAATATTTCATTCTAGGTTAAACTGCAAATGTCTTCATACTTAAAATAAGGCAAAACTAACTTACAAGTAACTTTTCTACAAAAAGTAGGAGCTTGTTTTGAGTAAGTAATTCCTTAATATTGATTAAAAAGTTTCACTGGCAGATTAATTCTTTATTACATGGGGAAAATATTTTATTCCAGGTGAAATAATCTAAGGAATTACTTAGTTAAAACAAGCTCCTATAATTAGTTTTGTCTTTATTTAAAGTGTACTAAAGTATTTGCATTAGATATTTGCTTAGGAAAGTTTTGTGCTTTCTCAGGTGTTTTTTTATAGATCCGATTTTTATCTATTTTTAATTTATTAATTTATTTTGGTCACTTTCTTTTCTAAAAAAAGAAATTACAAAAAATATTCTCAAAAAAATATTAGGGTCAAGCCAAGAGAATTTCTGTTTGATTACAATAAAGTCTTATTATTAGCAGAAAAAAAATGCAATTATACCAGGAAAAAAAGTGTTAAAATGATGAGGGAAAGTTGTTTTAATGAGAAAAAAAAAATCATAATTTTACATTTTTTAAAATAGTTTTTATTAGTTTTCCTGATATTCTGACTTTATTCTTGTATTATTTTGATTTAATCTTGTATTTTTTTCAACTTTATTGTCAAACTACTGTATTCTTGTAATGTTATGACTTTATTTTTGAAATAAAAGGAAAAAAGCATAACCCGACCTTTATATTTTGTTACAGAATAAATAGAAGCTGTAAAACATGTTTGTTAAACAAGATGGTCGCCTTACGCATGCTGACATCGCTCTGGACTGTGGAAACCCAAAAAATGCATTGGTGGAAAAAAATCCAGATTTCCAAAGACCTAAATCTTCAAAAACTAAAAATTTGATTAATCAATAAACTTTACTTATCGCCCAACTCTACATTAAACGTTTGTCTGTATGAAATTAACAAATTTCTGCTGCTACAGACACGTTCTTTGGTCTAACCACTGGATTCCTGCATGCATCCGTTCAGCCGTGGTTTAAACTCCAAAAAGCCCACACTAGGAAAGGAGAAGTGGGAAGAATGTGGAATGTGGGTTTTTCTCTGGACGTGTTACAATCAGCTGTTCATCAACTGCAGGCTCAGATCTAAACATCTAAAGTAAAAAAACTAGAGAATGTGTCCAGAACAAAGATAACAGAGACGGCCTGTTTGGTGACAGTGGCCCTTCGTGATGGAGTAGAGGTTTCGTCTCACTGATTATCAGTTAATTAACTGGGTTTTTAGTTGAATTTGAGCAGAAACAGTTGACACTCACTTTCTCAGCTCCGTGCAGTCGTCCTGGGAGACTCTGTGTGCAGAAGCTGCAGGAACATTTTGGAGTTTGGCATACCTGAAAGCACAAGAGATCAATTTTATACCAGAGACCAAGAAAAATGACATCTGTATATCAGGAACATTAAATGATATGGCTCATTTTCCAGACAACAAAAACATTAACTTATTGCCAAAAAATGGCTGGGTGATTTTTGTTGTTTTTTTAAACACTGCTTTTTTTTAAGAAGCAGCAGAAACCCAAATGAAAGTACAAAAATGTGCAAAAAAATTAATTTTGCATAAGTGTCCAAGTTTTAACAGTTTCCTACAGTGTTTTCACAGTCACCATTTGAGGGATAATTTGATATATAGCAATTTGATAATGGAAAGCTATTAGTCTTATTAGTAAAGTAGGATTTATTGAAATTAATACTTTAAAATGTAAAGACATTGTCTAAAAATACTGAAAACGATGTATAAAGCACTGAACAAAAGTCTTCCTTCTGGTTTTCACAAATTATTTAAATTAGGAGAGAGTATATACAATTTACAAGGTTTGTTAATACTTGAACATGATAAAGAAAAAGTAAAGTAAAATCTAGATGTTATTGGTGTATAACTATGGAATGAACTAAAGGATGATTTCAAATTATGTGAGTTTTAAAAGAGCCTTAAAATGTAAAATTATAAAAGCTGTGCATGTATATAATGTGAAACCATGAATGCATGTAATGTGAGTATGTGTACTTGTTTACAGTAGATTTAGTCTGAATTAGAGCAGGGAAGTTTAAACTTGGAGATTGGTTTCAGTCCTTACTTTTATTGGTAAATTATTGGTTTGTTTTGTTTTCTAATTTGTAATGTTGTTAATTTACCAAGATAAGGTAAATCTGATCTGATTTAGATAAGTTTTTGTCTGCCTCTGGTTCCCTCCACTCCCCAGAAAAAGTGGGTATCACCATGGCAACCCTACCTCTGTTCTCTCATGACTCAGCAGTTTCAGCTCTGTAATAAGCGGGCAGCTTAACAGCAGGTTTTCATTACCTGTTGAGCAGGAGATCCAGCACCTGCTTGGTGGTGGCGAAGGATCGGTAGGTGCAGAGGAAGATGGTGACGTAGGTGGAGTCTTTGCCCCTGAAGGCCGATACCATGTACTCCACCAGCCTCTCCAGCGTGCCGGCCTTGATAGTCCGCACCTTGCACGTCTCGTAGAGGCTCAGGGCGGAGTCCGTGTCCACACCCAGCCAACGCTGCCCCTTGCTGGCCGACTGGTGGAGCTGCATCTTCCTCAGGGTGATGGTGAAGATGGCATCCTCCTCCGCCTCCTCGCCGATCTCCTGCGTCGAGCTCTAAAATAAACAAAAGACGTTTTAGTCTAACTCAGTCTTTTTCTGGTGGTTTTTTTATATCATGGTGTATTAGAGGATTTTTTGTTTCTGCCAAAGCTTTAATTATGCTTCTCAATGACAAATAACCCGTAAATGTTATTAATGCACACAACATTTAGTAGTAAAGAACAACTTCTTCTTTGATTTCCATGTGTTTGACATAATTGGACAGCTTAGAATGAACACTTTTTAAATCTGTAAATAAAACATCCTGAGTGACCCGTTCATGATTTTGTCGTTACCAGTCACATTTATCAAACAGCACCACCCTTCTCATTAGGATGAACAAAGAAAACAACATTAAGTGAGTTAAGAGTCTAATATTTTCATTTGCATATATTAAGATGTTGTAATATAAAAATTACTCACTCCGTGAGTGTTAGTTAAATGGGTTAAATGGTCCTGAGCCAGAAAAAGCTGAGGTCCACACTGACATCTTGACAAGACAAGTCGGCTTTCGAGGAGCAGTTTAACGCAGATTAGAGAGCGCCGGTTCTGGTGCAGAACGTTGAGACGTGAAGCCTTTAATCACGGCCATCTGTGTGACCCGGCCGCGCTCTTTTTTTGTTTGCTCGTTGTGCTCTGAGTCACGCTTTGTGAATCATGTGTGCGGCGGTGCACAAACAACAATAGCAGGTTACCAAACCGAGCTAGCTGGATAACAGGGTCAACAATACAAGCTGCAGCCTGTGCAGAAGCTGCATGAATGTGACCTCTGTAGGCTGCAACAATAGTTTTTTCCCCTCCTCGTTCTCCCAAAAGCATGAAACTGGTTCAGTTTCATCATTTGGTTAATTTTCTTCTTTTTAATCCACTATGAACTTTGTTTTAAATTATTAAAATAGTGTGATGCAGTTGTGCTTCGAATGGAAATAAAACCGTGAACCCGGAACGTTCTCACATCTGGAGCGCTTAGCTGCAACTTTAGTCAGATTCGATGTTTAAAAACAAAACAAAGAAGCATTTTTAACAATAAAATGTAAAGCAAATATTGTAATTCCTCTAGAGGATTTCTCTTTTAACATCAGTGCAAAGGTGTGTACAGTAAAAAAAAAGCTCATGGATGTCTCAAATCTCTGAAATAGAGAGAGAACTGAATCCAGTTTGAAATATAAAAGCTGGTTTTGTTCCCAGTTTAATCACAGAGCAACGTGTTTCCAATCAGCGGTCAGACAAATCGTATCCAAGGGACATCCAGAACCTCACAGAACCACCAGGAGAGGGAAGGAGGAACATCATGTTCACTTCATGTTCGTCATCAGAGTCCAGCTATGAAAACACACTGGCACTTCTTCTTCTTTTTCGTGTTCAGGATCTGTTCAGCAACAACACTGCCTGTGCCAAGTTGCTCCGTTTGTTACCATGGAAACAAGCTCTAATTTACAGAGTTGAATGGAATCAAAGCAGACCAATTATAAAGTGCTAGAGATGCATCTTCTTTTTATTATCATTATAAATGTACTCTTCATTATAAAAGCTGATGTGCCAAACTCGAGGCCCGGGGGCCAAATCTGGCCCGCCACAACTTTTTATGTGGCCCTCTAGACTCCAGATTACATCAGTAAGTCCCAACAGTTTTTCACAAATCTGCGAAATTCCCACAGAAATCAACATATCCCCGCATTTTTCCTGTGAGTTTATTGCACATTTTCCTCAAAAATTGTCAAAAACATTGAGTTAAAGATAATTTTATTGTCTGCTGTAGGCCAAAATTAATTAAATTAAAAGTAATAATCACAAGTTTTGTAATTAAAAGTGTATCAAACATGCTTCCAGCACAAAGAAGCAGAAATGTAAGCCATCTTTTTCTGGCAAAGTTTTCACTTAATTTTCCAAATGTTGGGTTTGTGTCAGTTGTAAGTCAGAATTACCGAAGCTAAAAGAAATAACCCCCTGTTTTGTTCTTAAAATTAAGTTAAACATTTTGTTCTGCACAAAGTAGCAGAAATTTTGAATTTTCTTTTTCTGGCACAGTTTTTCGTTCCACTTAATTTTCCAAGTTTTTTTCCATTTTCTTTGTCAGCTCTAAGCCAGAAGTATCCAAATTAAAAGAAATGAGGAGCTCTCAAGCAGCTCTGAAAGGGATGAGAGACATTTTGTCTTCTAAATCAGTTGCAGAAAAACACTCCTGACAAACGAGGAGAGCAGAAACAAAGTGCTGTAAATTCTGTTCATTGTGAAGAAGCAGCTGCAGCTGAAGGCCTGGGCAGCAGGGAGCTGCTTATCAAGCAAACCACAGAGGCTGCTATCACTTCAAACCCTCCAACACACAGAGAGCTCAAGGGCAGCGCCCCGCTCCGATCCTGATATAAAGCTCCTATTCATTCCTGCCGTTTCCACGATCAGCCTCCGCTGCTAAACAAACACAGACCTCAATACCTTCATCAAAGTGTCACCTGAAGCTACCTAAAATGTTGGTAAAAGTTTCCTATCTAACCACCAGAAAGGCAGTCTGCCAACGCTTCCTTGACAGTCTGATGAACTCGAATCTGAAAGATGCAGTTTGGACATGATGGTGAAGATGATGATGATGAGCTGGTCTCACATTCCTTCAGCGTGACTCAGATCTTCATCAATCATCCTGGTTACAAACAGGAAAACGCCACTTTAAAAGCTGCCTAAACATAGAAAACTTAACCAGAAGTTACTGGCAGAGCAACTCAAGAATTTCATCAACGACTGACAGGAAATCAATCGAGCCGTGTCGTCATGCTGATCAAATCCAAACTGCTCCGGAAAATTACGAATTATTTCTTTGTCGGCTGCAAATCTTGTTTGGAAAAAGTTGATAAAAAAATGTCAAAGGGCGGTAATCGATTAATAAGATTTTTAAAAAAAATATTTTCAATTAAGCATTTTTATACAATATTAGAAATGCATTTCAAGTGGAGGTGACTGATATGAAAATTTGGGTGATTATTGATATCCAATATTAATAATGCTGTGTGTTGCTGTAAATATGTTCTACCTAGAGCTCCTCAAGTGGCAAAGTTTAGCTTCACCTGGTTCAAATTCTGAAGAAAAAAACCCATTAAGAATCTTTATGTCAAATTATTGATCAAAATAATAATCAACATTTTACTAAACCATATTTTTATCTGTAGATGCATTCTTTGCTACAAATGATCTAATAGACACTAAATTAATGCTATATTATTGCATTTTGGGCAACAGAATGTTTATTTACGTATTTAAACAAAGGAATTAAATGGTTTATTTACATCTTTTAATGCATTTTTATATTGTGTAAAAAAGGCTTAAGTGATTAAATAAAAAAGCTGAAGAATGTACCGATTTTATCCGATTAATCGTCACAACAATCAATTAATCGGTTACTAAAATAATCATTAGTTGGCAAATGGATCCATCCGTTCCATCCACCATCTTGAATAAAAAAGTTTTACATTATAAAACATCTGCTTTTACATCTGATGTCTTAACCGCAGCCACCTGGTTCTGGTTCGGTCCAACACTGACGTTCTGGGAAAAAGGGAAAACCCTTCGTTCTGAGCCAAGCGGCGCTCTGGGAGTGTCGGTAGGGGGTCTGCCAAAGCTCATGGAGAGAAAATAAACACACCTGCTTGGATGGCTAGAAAGCCCCTGTGAGGCAGAACCTAAATGTGTGTGTGCAGGGAAACCCCCGCTGCAGAGAGGCAACACTAACCCCTTCCCCCCCGAAACAGTAAACAGCTGAACAAAGCCAACGCTGCCGCCCCGGAGCACAAACCAGAGACTTCCCCTCCACAACAATGAGCGCTGAATGGAGGGGAGGTCATCTGGAAGGGCAGCAGAGCAGAAAGTGAGGGTAAACAAACGTTCAAATCCTCTCCTGGGATCTAAACACACAGCCTGGGGGTTCTCCGAATCCAGGAAACCTTCTGTCCAATATTATACTAGTCAGTGAAAGTTAGTGATCAGCAGAGGCGGGTAGAGTACCCAAAAAATTTACCCAAGTAAGAGTAGCACTACTTCAACATATTTTTACTCAAGTAAAGAGTGGCCGTCCAAGAAATTGTTAAAGCAAGAGTAAAAAAGTATTTGGTAAAAAGTTTACTCAAGTACTGAGTGGTCAACTTCTCAATCATTTAATACCTAAAACTTACATCATCAAGTTAAGTGAAAATTTTGGTATTTTAAGAACCAAAATGACAATAATTCATATAATTAACAAAAAATAACAGGCAAAAGAAAAATCAGATTCCTTCAATAAAAAAATTATAAAACTTTAACAAAAACTGCGGGTGTGTGTCTGTCTGCTGAATTTTTGGTTAAAATTTTATGGCAATTTAAAGGCTAATACTTAATAAAAACTTTTTTTTTCATAGCATCAGCTCTGTTTTTTAAGACAACAGAAAGATGAAAAACATTCACTTTAAATTGGATCCACAGCGCCGGTCACATGTTTGTATCAGGAGAACCAGAACCAGAGCATTAAGTGAAGCTGGAGGGAAACACAAAACCTCTCCACCCCCTAGAAGAGCAAGATAATCCCACTGAATCAAATCAAATCCCTCCAGAACCTTCTCCTCCAGCCGACTCCAAACACACACACCCACACACACACGTCTTCAAATCTTCGTTTAAGGGAGCAGGAAGAATTAAGTAACTTTCCAGGCCGTCACACTCTTGCAGCTGTCCGATTTTTCTTTCTTTTTTTTTTTCTTTTTTTTAACGCTTGAATTCGGCTGCTTTGAAACAAAAGCTCCTCTGTGCAGAGTCCCGCTCCTGCTGCTCATGTTTCAGTCATTAAATCAGTGTCCAAAGTGCGGCTTGGGGGCCATTTGTGGCCCTTGGACTGAGGTTGTGTGGCCCCAAACGCAGCTTGAGAATGATACAAATTGACTTTTTACTTTTACATCAGGGTGAAATTATTACCAACATCCTTTTCTCATATTGGAAAAAGTTATTTTCAACACAAAGTGTTTGTCTTTTTATAACCAAGCTGGATCTATGTTTATATA